GTAACAATCTAGCGAGTATTGCATTCGCTAGCTTGAGTGAAGAGCCAGATTAACACATCCATACCTCATCCACTCCCACGCTGGACTGTGTTTTACCTATTTAACTGCCCCTAAGAGGGGAGCAGACTTGCCCCACATTTTCTAACTTAGCACATGAAGAGACCAGGCTAACGCCTCACCCTGGTGTTAGACACTGCCTTAAATGCCTTACCCTCTGCTGTGCTAAGAGTTTTGCATTTGCAGTTCTGTAGCCTGCCTCCCACTTGCAGCTCTGTAACCCTTCACTTAAGCCACCTGGCCAGTGTTTTCCAGAGTTTCTCTAGCCATATTTTTCCCTTGCTGTTGTCCCTGTGCTGTTATCCTCAAGGCCCTTCATCTGCAAATACCAATACGTTGACAGTGTTGTATCTACACTGTACTGTAGCCCTTCTCTCCCCTGCCCTTTTCCTATCCCTTGGCAGTAGCTTTTGGTATACATTACAGAGCCCAATAACATGCATGCACAAAGCTCAATAAGCAGCCAGCGTTCAACACCTGCCCTGACGCAGCACTACCAGCCTCATAAGCAGGAACAAGCAACAGAGAGCCTGAGCAGGTCCTGATGAAAACCACAGAATTACTATGGGAAAGTGTTATGGGGAACACTTGCTGCATGGGAAAGGACACCCAGAGGAAGATGCTCATCTGGGAGACCCCACCGCTTCCCTTCCAAGCTGGCCACCGGGAAAACTCTCCCCTTTCTCTTTCTTCCTCTCACGTGTCTGCTTTCCTTTTTTCCGTGAAAGGAACTTTCACCTTCAGTATCCATGCAAATGGATCTTTGCATCTTGCATGTAAACCTGTTTCAACATCCTCCGTGCAACAGACTGCCCATATAAATACTGCATGTAAGAGTGTAGTTCTTCACATGCTTAAATCAACCTCAACTGCTCTTAACTTCCAAACACACATTCCTGCCCCCTCTCCGGTGAGGGCACAAGCTCCTGTGTGACTAGGTGAGGTGGTGTTTAAGTTGTAAGTCTAGGAGTAACTTCTCCCTTCCTTCCCTCCTGCCCCCCCCCAGAACTGATTCACTGCCGAGCAGCTCAACTCCCAGTGCTGGAGCCAGGAAATTTGCAGGGACACAAAGTCTGGGGACAAAGAAAGGAGGAGGAATCACTGTCATGTTGACGTAAATCATCTTAGCCTGACATGGAAGCTAGTCCTCAACTTTGTATACAAATAGCAGCTCTTAGACCACATTTCCATGAGTTACTGAAAAGGATATTTTGTGCCACTTGAAACACTAGACTTAACTGGTCTAAAGATATGCCCCAGGATGAACTTAATACTTTACTTTTTCTTCAAGTCACTCATCTTGTCAGAATCAAAGTTCCCTAACACAATCTCCTAATCTTAATCAGTCTCTTAACCTATTTGAAAAGCACATTTTTTAAAACAGAGATCAGTAAATGGAATTTAGTCACAGTCTAAAAGACAAAAACAGCTTCCAACTTACTTAGCGTATTTTGTATCTGTTTTAATAACAGATAATAATCTACAGTCAAAAACTGATGAAAACGAAAAATACTGATTACAGCATATTACCTACGTTATTTTTCAAATCTTATTTTTAAACAGTCTATATGGTCTGCATTTACTTGGGAACTCCAACAATGCTGATTTTTAGCAGTTGAGTAGTGGAATAGAAAACGAATGCTAAATACAGCATGGCAGTAGAAGACAATAAATGTAACATATCATACCACGGGAACATAATACAGTACTACAGCATGTGTTTCATATTTGGGACTTACAATGCTCACTGTTATAACAGATCCAAAATCTGTCTCCAGACTTCCCCCCGGTGAGGGCGGGTAGGAGTTGCGCAGCGATCCCGACAGGCGGAGCGCAGCACGTCGGGGAGCCAGCGACCCATGCTGCAGCCAGCCTGAGCTGGCACGGCGCTGCAGGGCCAGTGCCCAGCGTGGCTCGCAGGACGGGGCTGTGCTGCACGAAATCCCTCGCCCGCAGGACAGACTCACTGCAAGAGAGGGGCCCACGGGCAGCTCCCCCTCGGTACCACCTGCACGGCCTTGCCTTTAACAGCGCAGCAAGAAGTTCTCATGTGAGCATCGTTTCTGTTTTGACTATAGCAATGACAGGGTTGTTCCCTTGTCAGAAAATCCTGTAAGAGTGTGAATGACCGAGAAGCAGAGGATCTCTGCCACGGCCGAGGTCTGCATGGCATGCTGAGTGTGGGTCGCAGTCCTGTTCGATGCTACACCGCCTGCGGCTCTCAGCATCTAAAGGCGTGGAAGATATCTGCGCTATTCTCTTCTTATACTGTCAGCTCTAATAAATAGTATTTTAAATCATAGAATCATAGAATTCTTTAGGTTGGAAAAGACCTTTAAGATCATCCAGTCCAACCAGTAACCTACACTACCAATTCTACTCTAAGCCAACCAAGGGTAGACTAGACTAAACCATGTCCCAAAGTGTCACATCTACCCGTTTTTTGAATACTTCCAGGGATGGTGACTCCACCACCTCTCTGGGCAGCCTGTTCCAATGCTTGACCACCCTTTCCATAAAGAAATTTTTCCTAATTTCCAACCTAAACCTCCCCTGGCACAGCTTAAGCCCATTTCCTCTCGTCCTATTGCTAATTACTTGGGAGAAGAGACCAACACCCACCTCACTAAATGATACCTTACAGACTCTAATGCCTTTCTTACTGGGATCGTAACAGACCAGCACCTCCCAGTGCAAAACAAGGTGAAGAACAATTATTTCCAAGACAGGAGTAGTCCCAAAACAGTACTATATGGCATCATTCTTTTGTTTCCTCTTTACTCTGGTATTCGTGTGTGAGCTGGTATATGCACAGAGGGTATGTGTTTATGCAGATAGACAGGCAGATCTAGTTATTTACCACTTAGTTTTAGTTATTTATCAATTTACTAGCCACACTATTATTAGTCACCCTGCGTGGGTAACTGCACTCAAATAAGTATAGCGAAGCATGCAAGCAGAGACTCTGGCCACCTGTCCTACCCTGCCTGTTTGTTCTGCAATCAGAAAAATCAAATGCCCTTGGCTACCTAATGCGCCCAGAGAAATAAAGCTCATGTACCACTTCACCCTCACACAGGAACACGGTTCCCTTGAAAGATAGCTCCCAAAGAAGCAAACTTAAAGGTTGCACTAGACGTACTAATCACTTGCTATGAAAAGAAATAAAATCTTAAAAGTTAGCAACCGGTAAGTGTTTCGGGGTTCTGCTTCCACAAATATGTTTCAGTAACTAAGTTCAGATTCCAAAATTCCCCATTTTATGGTTTTTACTAGCTTGCATTTTTTCCAGCCTAGCCTTTTTATCTATTAGTCAACCTAATCCCATTATAAAAGTAATTCAAGTAAATGTAGGATTTCTAAATATTAACAAAACTCATTTCAGGCACCACAGTTAGCTTTGTAAAACATGGCATATATAAGTGGAGAAATCATACAGGTCAAGAGAGAAATCAATCAGGTCAGCAGTGACTAGAAATACAACACAAGTAATACAATAATCAGGCATTTCTGCAGAGTAATGACAGAGTTTTCTTCCAGGTTATTTTCGTTTGTCTTTTACAGTTCTAGGTATTGTTGCTATTAAAAAAAAAAAAAATCAGACTGAAATGTTAAACCCCTAAAGTTATCATGATTTCAAAATCTGGGGAAAGGTAAAATAAGATTAAGTCAACTGAAATATTTTCCTTAGGCAATTCTGAAATGCTGCATTTTCATTTCAAACTCCTTAATTTTTAAACATTGCTGTAAATTCAATTTCTAATAAAAGAGCAACGTTGAACCAAAACACTTCTTCAGAGTCCATAGCCTCGTTCTTTTTTATAATTATGAGACGCACAAAAATTAATAGGAAATCCATTAAGCAAACTTTTGTAAGAAAGGCAACATTTTTCCCTGATGAAACATGCTATTAGAAATTCCTGACCCATTTTGTTTTTTTCTTATTTTACAGATTATACTTGGTATTACTTTTGGAGCTCCAAAACACCTGATCTAACATAGTTCCTCTGCAGAAAAATAAGGAAAAATGGGAAGAAAACCTATCTCAGAGAAAGAAGTTCTTGGGATTACAAATTAATACATGTACTACCTTAACTTTCTCTCAGACTGTTCCGTTAGATACAAATTACATTTAATTCAGGATGAGCTAGAAAAGTTTTTCCTATCTGTACTAACACTGTACAAATACCAAAGATGAAGATGTTTCAAAAATTTAGAATAGAACACACTTGAAAAATAAAATATTTGGATGGTCAGTTAAGAAAACTGCTCCACCCACTTAAATTTTAATTTTTTTTACTCTTTAAGAATTTGATAGTTTAAAAACAAGATTTTGAATATTGCCTTCTCAACAATTGCTCCAACTTACTACAGTAAGGACAGCATTGATGGAGGACTCTGAATATAGGTTTCTAAGCTGTGAAATAAAGGATTTTTCCTAACCAAACACTGAGGAATAAGGAACTGAGATTTACCCAGCAGAATGGTTAAAAAAATGGAAACCTGAGAAAGGTTTCAAGCTGATTTTCAAAATGCAGCCCTCCTACTTTTTATATCCAATTTCTAAGAAAAGAGTGCTTTATTTTTAATGATACAGATTCTAATCACATGACACAAAATAACAGCAAAGAAAAGCAAAACCTCTCTCTGAAGTTAATGCTCTGCCTCCTCACTGCCATGGCTGCAGACTGTAACTCCAGTATGCACATTAAAAAAACAGAAACAGTTGTTTTACATGTCTTTATTCCTTTTGACATGCTTAGGGCATCTGTCTTCTTTTAGAAGGAGATCATGCAGGTTTCTAAATAAGGCTGCACAGACTCTCCTTAGTAAAAAAATCTTAGTTTTATTTCACTCTGGAATAACCTATGGAGTTCATAAAGGTTTAGAACACATTGATAAGCAAAGGATAAAAAACATCAAATAACAGAAAAAATACAAACCTCTGATTGTACATGCCCCGGAAATTATAATTTGCTCTATAATTGGGCATTGGCTTTGGATCTAATGGCCTGTAGATGGCAGGCTCTCCTCTTTTCATAGCCAGACCATTCAGCTCCACTGTCGGAGTTATACTGCCTGCAAAAAACAAAGAATACATGTAAGGCAGTAAAACCACAAATACTGCAAAACACACAAGTAGGACTGAGATGAGCAGCAAAGAGAGATCTGCATGATATTTTTTTGCTCTTAAATTTAAAAAGGAGCAACTACAATGACATGTCAGTTTCTCTAAAAGACGGGAATATAGATGCCAACTTAATCACAAGCAATGAAAAAGAACATTTAAACCTTTATCTCAGTGCATTCTCTATGCAGTTTCAGTAGATTAATCTTCACATATGAATGAGAAAGTCAGTGCTATAATCAAGGTGATTATTCATCTTTCCAAAGTGCTTATAATACATTATGACATTTTCTGAAACTATGAAGATAAAAGAATAATGTCTCTTTCCACTGAATACCATTAAATAAAACCACAAATAGAGCAAGCAGTTAATAAGCATTACAGCAGTAATTTGGTAGTCTTACAAGTTAGAAAAAATGTTTTATTTGCAAGACTTGAAAACTTTGGACTAACTAAAAACTAATGATCTAACAAACTGAAAATACAACTACTGGAAATCAGTGTTGCTACAGCCATCTACTGGTGACAGAATACAAAAATAGAAAGCAGACAGCACTTGCCCACTTGCATGGTCCTCCAAAATGGCAAATAAAAAGCTACACTGACTTCATTTACTTTTTTTTTTTTTTAAATAAAATGTTCAGCTACAGTATTCCTCACCTGTGCTGTTTTAAGAAAATCCTAAATGACCTAAATGTACATTCCAATAAAAATGAGTTAATATTTTCTTAAAATATTTTCATAAGAGGTTCAAATGAATCTAGCCTTAAAACAGCTATGATGAATTTGCCAGTCTGCTATTGAGGCTTTATATGCCAAATGACGAAAATTTTTACACAATACTTATTCAAAAACTTCTATCAACAACAGTATTTATGTTTTCCAGAGCAAGGAACAACTATGAATTCAACTATATAATAAAAATGCAAAATGCCATTTTGCTGAGAAGACACCTGTGCATATATAACACACCTTTCGTAAGGCAAAACTGCAGTGTTAAGTGATATAATTTTTTAATTAATTCTCTTAACGCCTATTCCTTTTGTTATCAGCTTTTCCCTTTAAGAATACGCTCAAAGCCAAAAAAAATCTAGAAACTGAGTGATAATCTGCAATGTTAAGAATGAAACCCAGGATCCCTTTTTATAGAAGCGTGAGCCTCCTGCTTTCTAAACAGCCAAAGTCACAGTGACTGAGAAGGACACAGAGCAAAACGAGTGTCTTGGGTCTGGAGAAGCAATGTATTGATCTCCAAAGGAGCAAGAGAAGACTATCGCATCACCCTCAAACAATCCTTAATGGCTAATGCTCAGGATAATACTCACAGCTCTAGAGGGAACTTACTCCTGCTTTTTTTCCAACATAGAGAAGATTAACTGCAAAATTACTCCATATTTAGAAAGTGGCTGAAGATGACTTTTTTTAAAAGTGTGGGAGGAGGCAGAGGGAAATATAAAGGGAAGAAGGGGAAAGGGGAAAAAGGAGTGTAAAAAAAGGGAAAAAAAAGGAAAAGACTTTTTTTCCTCATGATTTGCTCTCTTTGTGTGAAATAAAGTTAGGAATTTTTTTTTTTAAATTTATCAAATAAGACAGAACAGATCACTGAGCACGTGGCTGAGATGTGTACCTCAAAAGGTGTTGCATGCATAGAACGCAACTCACAGGTAACACCTCAAAATGAAGGATGCAAGACACCAATATACATTCTTTCTATTGTTCAAACAACAGTTTCTAAAGCCATTTGAAAGCTTTTTGAAAGCCAGGTTGCTGTGAAGGAAAACCTACTATGCAGGGATTATCTGTCAAAGTTCTCGTGACAAATCCTGACCTTTTATTTAGACCACGGATGCAATTTCACAGGACTGGACTAAGTAAAATTTGGCCCTTTCATTGGAAAATTAACTAAAATAACTTCAGAAAAAATGTTTTACCATGGTACTAATGGTCAGTTCAATCTGGTTTTGTCCTGTCTGTCTACTGTTTATCACGTACAACCACTTTGTATACATCTGAGCCTTATCTAAATAATCGTATTCACTTGCAGTTCAACCATTTTAGGTATAGGCATTAAAAATTCTCCTGTGCAAGCTCACTAGAGGTTCTTCATTACACTAGCATACCTATAAGACAGCTATGTTGATTCTCATCGTCCAACTTAACTGATATCTCAGTTAACTTAATTAGTGGTATAATATTCCAACAATTCAACAAGATTTATTTTACAGAGGAAAATGTCATACCTGGATTATTGTTAACATTATTTTTGGGTGGTCGAGGCGTTGGTTTGGGAAGGGTAGTTTCATTCAATGCTTTGCTAGCAGCAGCATGTTGGGCCTTTTTAATACTGCTTCCTTCAGCTTCCCAATTCTGTTCTCCAAGAGTCAGCTGCACTGTGAACATCTTCAAAGACAAAGAACAGGTAAACACTGGCAAGATTATCACCGTGGATTAGACCAATCTGTATAAAAACTTCCAGGACTGAATAGACACCATGCTCTCTTTTCGTTATATTCAACTCCCACATAACATGTCTGATTGTTACAGAGATCAGTGAGTCCTTAGCAGTGGGCAACATTTGACCTTTCAAATGACAAAGTAAAATAGCGTAATGTTAATGTCAACTATCAAAGAACAGAGTCATATTTAAACCAAGTAATAATAAATGCAAACTGATCCCCTGCTCTTGGAAGACTATATACAGGTCAGTTAAGACCACATTTCTTCACATTTCAATGTGTTTAGTCACTTTACCTGTAGAAAACAAGTAAAGAATGCTACTTAAAAAAGAAAGTAATTTTGTAATAATTCTGAATGGATATAAATGACTGCACAGTCTTCAAGGCAGTGGAGAACTTGGCCCAAATAGTTTTACCCAGTGAAAGAATTTCTCACACAACCTGATTTCTGAAAATAATGTGTATTGTTAGGGCAGAATCACAACTCAAAATACAATCAAAAATATAAAGTAAGAAAGAAGTATTATCTTTTTGAATGAAACTGCAGTTCTTTAATGTGGACTCTACAGTGAAGACAGGAACTGTAAATATTCAGAGTTCAGAAATGGACTAATGATAAAAACCATATGTATTTTAAAATCTGCAATAAAGGATTATTTCAAGCAGTATCTATGCTGTGCAAGTCGTGAAGATAAAACTCAATGCATACGTAAGATATTAGATAGACTATCTTCTGTATGATATGGACATGTTCTGTTTAAATTTGAGCATCTAAGAACGAGAGGAGAAAGGGTAAGAACTCAATGTCTTTTCCGTACCAATTCCAGGCAGGATTTAATAGTCAGATACACACAGTAAACTAAGATATACCTACCTCAGAAAACAGACTAACTTACTTCAGGCAACATAAAGAATTCTACATATTAGTGTGAGCAGTATATAAAGTAAAATTTTCATTTCAATAGTTATTTGCTCTATAATTTTTAAAATTATTTAAACTTGCTAGATCCAGGACCAGGTATCTAGAGATGGGCATGATAGGCAACCTTTAAGTTTGCCTTTACTTATATTTTCATTTAGCATGTACTTGTAAACAAGCACTTGAATAATAGTATGTATGTGCCTCCCAACTCAGCCCTATACACATGCACAGTGCATATGAACTGAATGCTATAAATACATACTTGTGTCTTAATTACAGGCTTGAGTTTTGGCCTACTGTAATTTTCAGAAGCACAGCGCAAGTCTCTGTATCACAGTTCCTATCGCCATGTCATTTTTTCCACAGCAGTCATCACAATTTCCTCACAGACAAGAGGGAAGAGCTAAATAGTCTCTTAATTTTGCACTCTGTCAAACCCTACCCCCACCTGAAAACTAAGCTGGGTATTAGAGATAAATACCCATAATTATATAAATTATCTATAAACATACATCCTTATTACTAAAAGAACTGAAATTTGATTTCTGGATCTGGAGTTTATGTATTTTGTATTTTGCAAGAAAGTATCAGTGTAGTATTTTTATAGGAGGAGAATAATCTTGAATTTCAATAAAAATATGATGAATAATGGCTACTTATCTACCTATAACTCTCCTCTTAGTGCTTAGAGCAATAAACAGAAATTCAAGATAATAAAGGGCTTGCTCAGTAAACTTCTACAGCCAGAGCTCTAAACTTCTCACTTAGTCCATCTGACAAAAAAACTCCTGCAAAAAGACCACACAAAGTAGTAGGTGGCAATTTAATTAAAGGAATAAAACTGCCTAGAACCAAAATCTGGAGCAGCCAATGAAGCACTGAAGTTCTCCAAGACTGGAGCTGACATTTCTTCTATGGATTGAGAGGCATTTCTCACCAATATTCCTTAGGTCCAGCCTAATTTACCTGATGGCTAGAGAGTGGAAATGCAAAGGCCACCATGCTTTGTACTTGTTTTCACTCCATTGTGTTCGTAAAGTCAGTCAGTCTCCCTTAGCTCTGGCAATTCTTTCCTCCTCACTTTTTCTGCATGTAGAACTTTCTCTCCTCCTTCCTGGCCTTTTGAAGTGCTACATCCCTTACCCCTTTCCCTCTTCTCTGTACCAGTATCCACTTTCTTTTGCCACTGTTTCTTTTAAATTTGTCTCCCGAGATGCCATTGACAAAGAAGCACAGAAGAAATGACCAATCTGACCGAGTGTCCTGGTTTCAGCTGGGACAGAGTTAATTTTCTTCCTAGTAGCTGGTATAGTGCTGTGTTCTGGGTTTAGTAGGAGAAGAATGCTGATAACACACTGATGCTTTAGTTGTTGCTAAGTACTGCTTATGCTAAATCAAGGACTTTTTAGCTTCCCATGCTCTGCCAGTTGCACAAGAAGCTGGGAGGGAGCACAGCCAGGACAGCTGACCCGAACTGCCCAAAGGGCTATTCTATACCATATGACGTCATGCTCAGTATAGAAACTGGGGGGAGTTGGCTGGGGGGCAGCGATCACTGCTCGGGAACTGGCTGGGCATCAGTCAGCAGGTGGTGAGCAATTGCATTGTGCATCACTTGTTTTGTATATTCTTTTACCATTGTTATTATTTTCTCTTCCTCTGCTGTCCTATTAAACTGCCTTTATCTCAACACACGGGTTTTACTTTATTTTTTCCAATTCTCTCCCCCATCCCACCAAGCAGTGGGGAGAGTCAGTGAGCGGCTGTGTGGTGCTTTAGTTGCTGACTGGGGTTAAACCACGACACTGAGGTACTCGAAAATGTCATTTATGCTAATAAAGACTTTCTGGTTTTTCTTATGATAAAGATTCCACCTGGAGGGCAGACTCCTAGAAACCCTAACTGCACTGTCAGGAAGCGCCACTTCTCTCCGAGCTCCACTGTTTTCTAGTTTCCCATTTCACCCCAATTGTCCAAACTTACTTTCCAGAGAGAACTATAAGAAAGGATATAAAAATTTACTAGCATTTGTCGTCATGACACAGACAGCTGTATTGTAGAGCATGTCTCTGAAAATCATGAAAACCACTAGTGGACAGGAACAGAGTATGTGTAGGAGGAAAGCAACGTGAGACGCTGCTTAAATGGCAAACAGCAGCAGCAGCATCGCATCCTTGAGGTCATGCTTTCTAGGACAAACTCAGCCCTGTTTCACATATTCTATCAGGTATATCATATTACTAGCAAGACATTATACTACACTGCTAACACAGTCATAATCATTTCTATGTCTCTGCTTTTCATAGGTCAAAGGTACACAAGTCTGCATAGTCTTATCAATATCACCCTTGTTCTTCATCCCCTTCCCTCCTTTGTTCTTCTCATTTGCTGCACAGGTCAAAATCAGACTTAATATTCTTCTGAGTCTACAGAGCACATATCTTTTTTTTGACCACTATGAGTGTAATTAAAAATAATAAGAGGTAAATTGAAAACCTGAAAAAATAAGAAATCCATTGAAAATCTGGCTTTCAAGAGTGCAGCTAATGCAGGCTCAAGTAATTTCAATTATATTAGTTCCTTTAAAAGTAATAAGAAATATATGTGAACTATTTCTTATCCTGCTAAAATTTAAAGTATAGCATGAATGTAATGTAACTCAAATCTCTTTACCGTTGAGGAATATGAACAGCCAAACCCACGCCTTTTGGTACAACCAAGGTACTACTTATTTCACAATAAAGGAAAAAAGGTAACAAAATAAATATACAGCACAACAGCAAAAAGTGACAGGAAGCGCAGCAGATTTAACATGCCCCAACTTCAACCAACCAACCAGTGTATCTTGTGATGCTAAATGCCTCCAAGAGGGGGAAGAGCACTTCAATTTCCATTCCCAATGAGCGATCCTAAAAGCTTGCTGATTCTCAGCAGCCCTGCACCTGCTGACATCATTTCCACCAGCACAAAGGATGCACGAACAGCAGCCAAACCAGAAGGTCAGTGACGTGCATCGACTCTGAGCTAGCTGACAACATAACGTGCAACTGGAAAACAAGGGGCTATGGCAGAGAGACAGCCCATGGCTAGCTGAAACTGTTACTAATCTGCAGCGTGACCCCCACTGTCTTATGCAGTCTTGCCACTCTAGAAATACTGAGCACAAAGCAGCTACTAGTTACGCCACTGCCTCTCTCAGAGTTTTTCAGGCTTTCTTCTCCTCCCCCAGATTGCTCCTAACTAGGGAAAAAATTCAAAATTACGTCTGAAAATGATTATCATGAGAATATCTCTCTGTGTTCCCCATCATCCAAAAGCATCTTAATCTGTCCTTATGAAGTTGGGTATCTAAATTGATATGAGAACTGACCAGAATTAACTGTCAGTTCACTAGAAACTTTAATCCTATAATCATACTAGAAGTCTCAATATCACCATAAATCTTAAAGTTGCACAGAATTTAAAGGAAAGAACAGTAATAAAGTTTGTGCCCTATAATGCAAGATCCAAAGATACGGTATCAAGGCAATCAACTTTATGGACACAGAATCGTATCAATAAGCACTTTAAAAAATGACATAAACTAGTTTTGTCATCATCTGCACCACCATGAAACAAATGCAGAGGTAGTTATCAGAGGTACGCCAACTGGGAAGGATTCATGCAGCTTAAAAAGCAAACACTCCAAAATGATTAAGAAAGCTTGGTGATACTCTGGAGAGACCTTCACAAGGTCTTTATAGAGACCAATAAATACCAACTCAAAGGTGGAAGTCAAAGTAAGGTACAAAATGATCTACAGGGCTTCAACAGAAATACAGACATACTTTCTGAAAGCGTTTAAAAAAAAAAAAAAAAAAAGCAAGCAAAATAGAGAACAGTAAGAAACCCCTTACACTAGAAATGTGGCTGTGTTTGACAAGCGCACTTGTCCAGACCATGACATTATCTGTTCAGCATTTAAGGTACGGCTCATCACCTTGAACTGTGACCTTACCTTGGCATGAGCAGGCCCTCTTTCATTCAGAAGCTTATACTGGGGTTGAATTCTATTGAAACGGGCTAACTCATTTACCAGACACATTGGAGTTTTCTCTTTGGGGTTTGCCATGTTATCTTGGAGAGGAGCTGTAAATAAAGAGTCTGTAAAGTTTTTGTGGAGAAATGTATTCTTCACAACTTCGCAAAGCTTTGCAAAAGCAGCAGCATGCTTAGAAAAGAAAATACTTTGGCTAAAAAATAATTTGTGCACATATGCTAAATACAATGTTTAAATACCATTTAAATATTAATCATATGAGAATACGTATTTTACAATAACCATTTAGATTACATGCAATTGAAAAAAATACAACTATCTCTTTCCAAAATGTCTCTATAAAAGATGACAGTATAGGAGGACATATACATATGCTACATTTTTCTATGTCACCAAAGTTTACTGTCGGCAGTATACTGGTTGACCACTTTTTCAGAATGGTTTCTCAACACTTTGAAGCAGAAGTGGATAGCATAAGAGTTGCAAGATAAATACAGCCGCTGAAACTCTGTGGTCCCCACTTGCTTCTCCCTGCTTCTTCCCAGTGTTTTAGACATTTCTCACAATAATGAAGTCACTCTTAGAGCACTCACAAAGAACACCTTTCCTCCCCCTTCAAGGATTTTGTTCTCTTTTCTTAGACTACTTACTTCATGTAGTAGTCTTACTATTTTTTAACTTTCTGCTATTTCTTTTTCAACTTATTTGTATTTAACCCTAACACACATTGTCATTTCATGCTTAATTTTTTAGGATAACATTTCTGTATCTTATACCCAGTTCAGCATAGGAACTACAGCATTTATTAGTCTACAAAGTAAACACTGAATACTGCCAAGCAGTCTGAAGACGTTCTGTTCTAGGGAAGAGAAATACACTTGGAGACCTTCCTGCACCACTAAAACTTCTCTATAAAAGATACGCTCCGAATTTGACAAAATAGACGTGTTCTTTTCTGAGCTTTTATGTCATTGATCAACACTTCACTGTAAGTCTGAGTTCAGTAACTTTAATAACTAAGTTAAAGAAACTTAACTTAGTAAATAGTCTATTTGGCCAAAATATTTTTCTATAGGATTTTTTTTCTTTATTTTAATCCTCTTTAAGACCTAACTTTTTTTTTTTTTTTTTTTTTTTAAATTAACAAGTCATCAAAAAGATTCATTTGAACATCAAAGAAAATATACCTGGACCAACTTACCTGGTGAGTTGCTAGAAGGCGCAGGATCCACAAGGCCGGCAGTAGGGCTGCTACAGCTGGCAGCCGATTCCGAAATGGATCCGTTCATTGAGGACGGCAGACCCAGTGTATTTGTAGCTGTAACTGGTAGGGGTAGCACCATAGGGGACATGGTAGGTCCGGACAGGTTTGCTGTAGTCTGCATCTTAACTTGTGCCATTGCCTATCACTGCAATAAACAAATTATTATGAGCAGGGCACTTTGCATTTTGGATGTTAAACGACGATAGTGATACTAACAACACTTCTTTTTTGCTCCTGGATCTGGGTCACAAAACTACCCACAAAAGTCATGCCTATGCACACATTACTTCCAAACTGATGCACAGAGCAACAGAGCTCACAGCCAACGAAAATCACCAGAGCAGAACCTACACGCCCTGACTCCAGGTTCTGTTGCTCAGCTGTGGCATGACCCTGTCTGAAATACAGCAGGAAGAATGATTATTCTAGAATAAAATTCCATACAATTATTCTGTGGATGAGATTAGCACCTGCCAATTTCTTCAAGAGAGTATGTCTTTGCAACAAACTGCCGTGGCAATCTTTTGCCACAGCCTTCCAGTAAAGTGCACACAAAATACCAAATAAGGCCACAAGAGAAAAATCCCTATTTTTTCTGTCTGTTACCAAACTACAAAAGAGAAAAAATAAGAAGAGAAAACAAACAAACAAAAACACCAAAGAAGCAAGTTCTGAAAAATCACTGCTTATGCAGTCAACAGGTAGAGCACTTCAGTCCTTGTATAAATTACGAGCACAGGTACCAGGATTTCCTAAACTAGCCTTTAATCCAGTGCCTAAAGCATTTACCTGGAATATGCCAGGTAGTAATTATCTCTCTCCATCTGCCCAAATGAGTTTCTTTATTACCAATACCTATTCTCTGGCTAAGTCTACACTCCTAAACAAACCAGGGTCAGGGCACGGCTCCTTCATACTATTCACTGAGAGTATGCTCCTTGGCTACTGACACAAAACTCTTGCAAAAACCATATGGTAGCAGTTCAGAGGCCAGCAGGCACCCCAGGCAATCCACCCAAATAAGCTAGGAGGCAGTCATTCCCAGTCCTCTGGGGAAAAGTCTTGGCTTTCTCCTTTTGGCATCAGGAGCAAACAGGATGATGTATTTTATTCAGTAGCATGGACATAGGCTGTATTTTTTTTAGGGTTCATACACATCATATGATCTGTACAGAGCGGATAGAGACACGAACCCCGTAACAGCCAACAAATACCCTGGAGACCTGGGACCTCTCCCGGCAGCAGCTCTGGTCCCTCTGGCTAAGGCAGAGGAGGACAGGAGCCCAGTTCTCCTCTGTCCAGGCAGCATCCTTACCACCAAGCTCTTTGCTACTTCTGCTGGGGTAATTCTCTCTTCCTAAGAAAAAATCCTATCCACCTGAAAAACTTTCTAACTAAGGTATTATTGAAATGAGTACAACTATATAAAAAATTTTGATTACATCAGTATTTTTGCCCTCCCCCAATCCATTAAAAAATATCCAAGTATCCCTACTCAGAGGCACAGTATTGTTGGATTAAGATCCCAAATCACTTGATACACCACAGAGTGCAACTACTTTAGCGCAGTTGCACTAGTATAATGAAAATAATAAATCTTATTATTGTGACTCTGTGCTTTGGAGAAGAGGCTCAGACTGGAGTGACATTTTTATTACTGAGGGAAGACAGATGACTGATTTAAATCTCTGGAAAAGCAAAAGTAAAAAAAATTAAAAATGAAGCCGAGATACAATCACTTGCCCTTTTCATAAATATCATAAGTAAAATGCTAATAGTGACAGATTTTAAAAATACATATGCAGTCAGCTGAGATACATTCAAATACTTCATGTGTTCAAATTTATGGACTAAATTCAGACTGTAAAAATCCTACTGTCACGTAACAGCAAATGTCACATAATACAGCAGTATTGTTAAAGGGTCTAACTTAAAGACTGAGAATGTGTGTAAGTATAGAATTCTTTACTATATTACGTGTTTAATTCTGATTTAAAATATATTAGTATAGGTCAGAATTAATTCAAAAAGTTTCTTAATTGTAAACATCAAAGTCAATGATGGCAGAATCAGGCCATATTTATTAAACATCTTTAAAATGAAACCAACATAATATGAAATATCATCATAATAATTAAACTTTAAGAAACTCTTTAAAGTATTTACAGCATTTTAGCTTACAAAGATGAGTACGAGAAAGCTGTCACTCACATAGTACTGCATGAGATGCTATTGAACACCTATTCTCAAGCCCTGTCACTTAGGAATTATCCTTTCAGCTTCCAGTATTGTGAACGTTTATTGTTCAAGAAAGCAGAACTTACTAATAACCAAATAAAATCATGTGTTTTATGAAGTATATTTATAGCTCCTATAGTATTGCTGGGATATTTTGTAGGATTGATCCTTTTCTATTAAGGATAAAAAAATAAGTTTGATAATAGCATCAAGGAACTGTAAAAATGAACAAGATGAACTTTAGGGGGAAAAAGACATTCTTTATCCTACAGTAAATTAAGTAGGAAATTAAACTGTGAAATCAGAATAAAATCTAACATATTATGTGTTGGCATTTGCTTATTTTATTAGTTTTCTTTTATATCTAAAGCTGAAGAACTCCTACAAAAACTGTAAACATTCTGTAAATTAACCTGCCTAAGCAAAGATGCCCAGGAGGTAAATATAGTTGTAGGGACTAACTCTTAAATACATGAGATATTTTGCTGGTTTTGGCTGGTGTAGAGCTAATTTTCTCCATAGTAGCTAGTATGGAGCTCTATTTTGGATTTGTGCTGAAAACAGCGTTGATAGCAGAGGGATGTTTTCATTCTTGCTGAGCAGTGCTTATGCAGCATCAAGGCCTTTTCTGCTTCTCACCCCACCCCACCAGCGAGCAGGCTGGGGGTGCACAAGAAGTTGGGAGGGGACACAGCTGGGACAACTGACCCCAGCTGACCAAAGGGATATTCCATACCACATGACGTCATGCTCAGCACATAAAGCTGGGGGAAGAAGAAGGAAGAGGATGACGTTCAGCGTGATGGTGTATGTCTTCCCAAGGAACAGTTACGCATGATGGAGCCCTGCTTTCCTGGAGATGGCTGCACACCTGCCTGCTGATGGGAAGTAGTGAATGAATTCCTTGTTTTGCTTTGCTTGCGTGCGTGGCTTTTGCTTTACCTATTAAACTGTCTTTATCTCAACCCACGAGCTTTCTTACTTTTACCCTTCGGATTCTCTCCCCCATCCCACCGGGGGGGAAGTGAGCAAGCAGCTTTGTGGGGCTTAGTCGCCAGCTGGGGTTAAACCACGACAGATATGAAGATAATCTATTTGTAATCGGTTCTAAAAATCCACTAATAGAGAGACAACAGAGAGAATATAGTTGATATAGTGCTGTCATGTAATTTTCACATTACCAAGCAAATCATCTGTGATGTCACCACAAAAAGGGGAGAAAACTTATATGCTCCATCTTTTCTTTACATTATTTTACATATATACCAGCGACATACTATTTTATAAACAAGTGATGTAAAAACATTTTGAGGCCTTGCAGCCATGAGCACAGAGCAGTTTGCTACTACACAACAAAATGCAGGACTCGAGGGAAATTTCACTAAGCTGGTCACAGATGAAATGGAGTTATATAATCAAAATAATTTTAAATCTTCTATGTAGATATTTCTGAAAAGCGTGTCATATACAAAAAGGACAATTTCTTAGGATACTACGGATATGATTAGAAAGCCCCCACACCTCATTTCAGCTGGCTAACCCATAGAATCATAGAATCGTTTAGGTTGGAAAAGACCTT